CCATACTAATGAAATATGTTAATAATGAGGGAAGCTGGAAATGGGGTATACAAAAACCTCTATGCTATCCTCACAATAATTTAGAAATCCCATCAATTTAGAAATTTAATAAGTCAATATTCAGGTGTCACGTACTATCTTAAATTCTAGGGAGTCATGAGCAAAAAAGAAAACAAGATGCCCCTACCTCATGGAGTTTGTAGACTATAGAAGAGAGAGACAATCTTATCATCAAAGAAATATAAACTGCAACTATGGAAATATATAATGTTATTACTTTAATCTGGGAGGTTAGTGTATTCCCTAAAGAAGAGAAACTTCAGGTGATGTGTGAAGGCTAACTAGGAGACAACAAGTGAAGTGGAAGCAAAGAAAGAACAGCCCAGACAAAGAAAGCAAGTGTGAAAACCCTGCAAACACGGTGAGGAGCAAGACAGCAACAAGACTAAAGGCCAGCATGGCCTACGTGGAGTTTCAGAGAACACATCCAAAATGAGGCTAGAGAACTATGCATTGTCAAGGACTTTTATTTTCATTCTAGAAGCAAAGGAAACCCATAAAAGGATTAGGGGAGGAGGGAGGACAGTCAGTCAGATATGTTTAAAAATAAATTACTGTGCCTTCAGGATGCATAATGGATTACAGAAGAGTCAAAAGAATGGTGAGCAAACAAGAACAGAAATTACTGTAGAATATCCAAGCACAGTGATGGTAATAAACTCAAGTGGTGGTAGTGGAAACAGAAATCGCTCTCAGAAAGATTCAAAGAGTAGATTAATAAAACTTGTTGACACATTTGACGCAGCAGGGAGAGGGATGTAAGGTTCACTCCTACTTTTTGAATTTTATAATGAAAACATAATGGTATCATTCACTGAAAAAAAGGAATAAAGAAAGCAGACCAACATTTTGGGGGTTTGGAAGGGAAAACGGAGAAATCAGTTTAGTTTTAGGTATCTTGGACTGGAGATACCCAAGAGTGTCAACTAGTCAGCAAGATACACAGGTCTACAGCTCAGAGAGAGAGAGAAAACACTCATGCCCCAAGAAAACCTGGTATCTTTTATCCTAGAAAAGCAGCTAGCTATAATCCTCAGCAGCCAAGCAAAACATTAGAACTAAACTTTGACTATCTGGATTTAGTTAAGTAGCTGAGAGAGAGAACATGGTAATAATATTCAACACCACCAAAGAAAGAACACAATAAAACAAAAAAACCCACCTACATTTAGATGTAGATTCTACTAACTGAGGCAAAGTGAGAAAGCCAGACAGGAAATTTAGACTTTTGTATGTCTCAATATGAATTAACAGTAGTACCAGAAGTAGATTTCAAAGCAGATTACTTACTTAGAACAGTATTCACTTAAATAAGTAAATCTGTTAAGGGGAAGTATTTCAAAAAAGGCCACGTACTGTTTTATAAGAATCAACTGCTAACAGAACCAAGCAACACCTACCTATGCTCATCTTACGATAAGTTTTAGAAGATAAGGAGGAGAGGTAGGAGAACAGAAAAAAAACAAAGGAAAGAGAAAAAAAAATTATATATACATATATAAAGAGAGCAAGGAGAGAGAATACTGTATGGCTGAGAATCTACAAGAGCTATTAAGTGGCTTTCATAACTGCCTAATGCTAGTAGAAACCAAGGACAAGATTACTTTCAGATCTTTTTGTTTTACAAGTCATCACCTTCCAGAGTATGTGGTACAACTCATCTTTTTTTTTTTACAACTCATCTTCTAATCTGACAAATCCTCTTAGTTTTCATCCATAGCTATATTACCTTAAATTCCCTGTTGAACTCATTCCTCCCATCCCAAATTTATCATTCTGATATTTATGCTTCCAGATTCTTATGATGCCAAGATTATTCTTAAAACATGTATGCTCATATTTTCCACTCCTCATATAATTTTTCACACACACACACACACACACACACACAGTCACACATGCACTTTTTTCTGTCTCCACGGGAAAATCCTATTTTCTACTACTCTACAGGCTTCCTCTAAATTTGCTTCTTTTTATCATACGCTTCAGTTTGACATTCAACTAGGTGTTCAGCCACTGAAGAGTAATAAAGGAAAAGGCCTTTGCTTAATGTCTAATAGAAAACAGTCTGCTGTCCACTAATGTCTAATCCAAAAAAGATAAGTAGAAAGAAGCTGTGCTATGGTTTAGATCTAAAAATGTCTCTAAAGTCTGTTTAGAGGTGGGGCTTTGGAAAGTGACTGGATCATGGGAGCACCATACTCATCAACTGGTAAGTCCACAGATGAGTTCATAGCTGATTGTGCTATTAAGACTAGGGACATGATCTTGAAGGGTATATTCTTGTCCTCGGCTCATTCCTTCTCTCTCTGCTTCCCCACCATGATGGCATGAGCAGCTTTCCTCTACCATGCCTTTTCACCATGCTGTTTCTTCCTTGGAGTCTGCTGACCATGGACTGTACTCCATGAAACTGTGAGCCAAAATCAACCTCTCCTCCTTTAAATTGTGAATGTCATTTGTCCCAGCATCCAGAAAGAGACTAATACAAGCTATATACTGTAAACCATAGTCAGACACCTGGGATCAAATCCTGGCTCCACCAGTGTAAGTTTGGGCATATTATTTTAGCTTCAGTCACTCAGTTTCAGTCTCTTCATCTACAGAAATGTGGGGTTTTGCCATCTTATAATGCTGCTAGGAGGATTAGATAAGATATTCATGTAAAGTACTGGGCATAATGTGTGGCAAACAGTATACAATATAAACAAATGTAGTTGTCATTATGGTGTTAGATAAAATTTATCTTCTGAACCTGGAACCTGCCACTACCTTTAAAGAAAACTAATTTAGCATAATTTATTCTTTACAAAATTATGTTGACTGCTCCAAGTGAGGATGCTACACAAAGGGAAAATTATTTTATTTTGTGACCAGAAAAAACTGGTTACTTCAGAGAGGTTATGATGAGCTGTATAGGTCCCTTCAAGTTCTAAAATTGTATGCAACAACCTTCAAACCTTTAGAACTTCAGCCTTCAAATAACACTTCACAACCAAGTCCGTAACCAAATATATGCCCTAAAATGTACAATAAACTTGAAATGATTCTTATTTACAAGAGAGAAGCAATCATTAAAATATCTAATACAGAATGAAAGGAGAAGGTTAAGATAATGCTTATGGACCACACCACTGAAACATCTTATTTGCCATTTCTAGTAAAGCCAAAATACACAGTGGATGGCTGAAGTAAAAAACAAGAAAACGAATGCCAACTACAACCAAAATTTAAATTTTTTACGTTGAGTTGTACCTAGTGGTGATACTTAATATGTACTGAATAATGATAAACACATCATTTTACAAATCCTCACGATTGCCAGAGCAAGGGCCACAGTCAACCCTAAAAAGAAACCTCAAAACCACAAATCACAAACTAAGTTGACACTGTCACTTCCTTCAGTATGTCTAGGAAGGAATTTAGAAATACTCAAGTACTGAAATAAAGATTTCAGTATCAAGTTATAATCCTTGCATTCTACTGCTCTTGGCCCCCAAACAAGCCATTTACAGTTTGGAAAACAACAGCTACACACACACATGCACACCAAAAGAAAAAAAAGTTTTCATAAACTTCAACAAGGCACACTCTAAGAAGCAGTTTTTAATCTCTCTGAACACTATATATCTCTTTTGATATTTTGATTTCAAAATAACAAAAAGGTCATTCTCCCTTGAGGAAAGAAATGCACTCAAAAAAATCGGGACATAATTTCAGGGGTGGGAATGATGAAGACCCTTGAAAGTCACTGAGGCTTAGATACTAGACCCCAACTCACAGCCCAGGATTAAGGCAAATCATAATCCAAGGAAAACTAATTTATCAATTTGAAAAGGAACCCAAGTAACTTAAGTATATTTTAATCCAGAAAATAAACTAAGAATAAAAATATTTTCTATTTTCCTAGATAAAAAGTGTTAAGACTTCCTAGTTAGGGGAGGGGGTTGATCATACTGAGGAAAACAAAACAAACAAAAAACAGGACAACGGAAGAAAAACATATGTAGTCTACAGTGTTCTCCCTCTGAAAGAGCAGTAATGAAATGGCCAGTTTCTGCAGCCTTAAACAGAAAGCTGACTGAACATGCAACCAATCGGCTGCACCTTTCTAAACTGACGCAGTTAATTAAATGGCGAACGTGAACACACCCTTGCAGGTGAAAAGAACACCTTGATGAAAACTCCAACAACTCTTCCCTTTTTTCTTATCAAACAAGAATTGAGTAAATATGCTTTAAACTGGAAGAAAATAAAGGAGGGAAGAGGGTGCCAAAAAGATCTACGTGAAGAGGAAGGCGCCAAGTTTTGAGATCAAGAGGTTCAAGGGGAAGATAAGCAAAGCAAAGGAAGCAGTAATAAAAAGAGGGGAAAACGTGGCGTCTAAAACTTGTTTTTAAAAAACACCCAACTCTTTCCCTGTCCTAGACACGTAGGCGGTAGTAACTTGGCAGAGGAACGAGCCAGAAGTCACAGCCACAACTCCAGCATTCCTTGGCCGTCCTCAGTCAGGCTCGGGACTTTTCGCGGGCAGGGCTCCTCCCCGCACCGCTGCCAGAGGGGCCTCTCCGAGGGACGCTTACGGTCTCCCTCCCAGCGCGCGAGGAAGTGGGGAATGCGGCGCGGAGAGAAGTGAGGGCTGCACACTAAACCCGAAGGTGGCCGGTTCCGACGCTCAGTATCCGGACCCAGCAGCCTCTTCTCACCCAACGCAGGCCAAGTCGCGGTGCCTCCTTTCTCTCTACTGTTTCCAGGGCACCTGAGAGACAGGAGGAGCCCAGGGGCGGAAAGCGCAGGCAGAATACTCGGGCAGACGCGGCGCACAGAGGAGAGACGAGCCCAGCAAACCCGGAGCTGCGAAGCCAGAAGCACCGTGCCCGCCCGCCAACCACCTCAGACCTTCCACCCCGCCTGCCCCGGGCCGGCCGCTCCGCCCTCACCTGTCTGCGGGGCACCGGCGGCCCTCAGTTGGAGCAGTATCCCTGCCGCTGCTCTCCGGGGTCGCCTCACCCTGGCGAGAAGAGAGCGGAAACGGGACCCGGACTTTTTCTTCCTTCCCCTCCCCCACGCACCTCGGCTCCTAGGGGCGGGGAGCAACCGCAGCTGTCACAGGCTCGCGCTGACCAACCCGCGAGGACACTCGCACCGGCGACCTCCCAGCCCAGGCCCCCAGAACCAGTACCGTGCGTGGCGAAGCCGGAAGTGAGGAGACCGGAAGGAGCGTTGGCCTTAGCCCCGCATGGCCTCTCTCTCCCTGAACCCGGCCGCCGCCGCGTCTCGGTGGTGCCAGCGAGCTTCCCACCAAGTTCCCCCCGCCCTGCTGCAGAGGCGGGCCCCGCCCCTCCCACTTAGGCTCGGCAACCACATCCCGGGCCCCGGCGGTGCGGTTGCCCAGGTGATTTTCTGGCCGCGGGTGAACAGTGGAACCTCGCGCGCTCCGCTCCCGAGGCGCAGCGGCGGGAGCTGGGACTTCCAAAAGGCCGCGCTGACCGTGCCTCCAGTGGCCGGCGTTTGCAGGAGCCCTCAGCGTCCCTTCTGCCTCACACACCCGGCCTCGCGCGTCAGGCGTCCGCCCCACCGACGGCGTGCCGGTGCCGGGAGGTGGAGGTGGAGGTGGACGTGGACGTAGCTCCCCACCATACGACCGCCGAGGAGCCGCCCCCGGAGAGCGCGGAGAAGGTTACTCTAGCCCCGCGGCGGGCGGGGGTGGGTTGAGGCCCGCGGGTGCGAGCGCCTCGCCCGGCCCCGGCTCCCTCTGGAAGTCGGGCGCCCGCTCCCCTGCGCCCGGGTCCCCCTCTGTGATCTTTTGCTGCTTTCGCTCGCGCCAATAGATCGCGAATGTTTTCTTTTATGTTCCTCTTTTTCCACAAGGCTGAACTCTGCTTTCTTTGCTCCCTCCACTACTTTTTTAAGCAGATCACTGTCCTGTCTGCAGAAACCGCGGGTCAATCCTTCTCTCAGTCCTTCTTCCTGAGTTCCCTAAGTTGAGGTCCCCACCTGCACTTCGGTTACTCTTCGCATCCCAGCGCTGAGTGGGGGAAAGTGACTCAGCAGCACCGCTAGACACATGGTGCTTACTCTGGTTGATCAATCCATCCACACCCATCCCTCGTGAAACTAATGGACCATGTTTCCTCTGACAGCCTTAGACGCTCACTTTTATTCTCATGTCACTTGTAGAAAAGCAAAGGGTAGCTCTGCTCACAGTGCGACTGCTCTTTCTGTATGTAGCCAGTACTGATCACCTATCTTTGTCCCTTTAGCTGGCAAGACAAGCCACAACTTGTAGAGTTTGCAGAGTTCTGTGTCTACAAATTTCATTGTAGTGAAATATGCCTGTACAGATATCTTCCCCAGATTCATGAATGGTAAATACCCGTGACATTGCAGATATTTCAAGTGTAAGAAACAATATTGTCTGAGATCTCCAGGATTCCAGCTCTTAGAAAAACAGTACTAAAATCCCCAAGCATAAATCTAGAATAAAGGGCCCTTCCTTATCTTAAATGGCTCCGTCTTCACAAAGGAGAAAAATAAATACAACTCATTCAAACCATAACTTCGGTTCTACAGCTTACTGTGGATTTTTGTTCAAAGCCATCCTCTTGGTTTGGAGCCCGTTAGTCTGCTCAGTGTAGAATATTTACTGCTTTTATTGTTCGGGAACAGAGTAGCTCCACAACTTGTAGCCCAGTAGAAGTGTTGCTCCCAGGATTTCCAAAGGGTGACTTGTATATTTGTACTGAACGGGTAGGCTATTCCCTTAAGGGGTCCTGCGTGCTGTCTCTTGCTTTGAGATTCTTAGCCTCACTAAAGTTGGTCTGTTACACTGTTAAAAGTGTTTCTTATATTAGAAAGTTGAACACTTGCTTTGGTTATTTGCCCTTAGCTGGATAGTTTCCTTGGCAGCTGCTGTTAGTTTTTAATAGAGAGTGTCATGGAATTACTTGGAACTAATGCTAATTTTTCCCTGGTGACGTTACTGTTAACTTTGTCAGATACTCTTCATACATTCTCACCTTTCTACAGGTGAAATGAGATTCTGGTACTGTTCGTGATTATATTCACATCTCATTACACTGTACAGAGAATTAATCTGTCCATGACTTCTACTGCCCCAAGGGAAATTAGAATTTGGGCTGGTCATAAGAAAACGCTGGAAGCTACTTCAGCTGGTGACAAAAAATTGTTAAATTCTGTATACATCCTTAGGGATAAAGGAAGCAGCAGCCTGTGTTGGATTTGGGGAAATTTTTTACTTTTTAAAAAATGGTGCTGGGAATCAAATCCAGAGAATGGAGAAATTTTCTGCTGCTAACTGAAAGACTTATTAAATTTAATTAATTAATTTTGTGGTACAAGGCCTTTGCTGGGCTACATCCCAGCCCTTTCTTTTTATTTTGAGACAAGTTCTCACGAAGTCACCTAGTTGCCCAGGCTAGTCTTGAACTTGCAATCTTCCTGCCTCAGCTGCCCAGAGTGCTGGGATTACAAAACCTAGTTTAATCCTAACCCTGTTTAGATAAAAACTTACTTTCCTTTCCTTCCTCCCTTTCTCCCTCTCTTCCTTCATTTTCTCTGGAGCTTGAGGAATTCCACCTACCCATTCTGTTTAGGAGGAATAGAAGATTATCACTTTTCTTTCAACTGACATTTATGATTGGAGAGATGAGAAAACATGGGAACAGTTGCCTTCCATGTACACTTATGATGTGGAGATTATCTACTCATTTTTTCAGCTTTTTAAAAATTAGATATGATTTATTCACTGCATTTGGGGAAAACTCCAGTAGCCTTTCATTTTGTGACCAGGAAAGAAAAGAGGCAACATGTTAAACGATACTGTTTTTAATCCTTTGTGAATGAATTAAATGTGCAATCACCCTTTTATCTCTGATTTAAATGTTGAATGCTGTATATTGCTTATCAATATTTTTAGAAAAAGTTACTACATTCAGATCTTTTCTATGGAAATTCTGGTCATGTCTCAAACTTCTATTGCTTTTCATAGTAGCTGTCTTTACATTGCTGATCACACAGTAATTAATCCTCTGGAAACTCTTTATTAGAAAATGCAGAGTAATGATGGAACATTTTAAGAAGTCCCCAAATAGGCAGGGTACAAAGTAAAGGTGTACACTGTGAATTACTAAAACTTCTTAGATTAAAAAAAAAAGTTTTGTAGCATGCACCTGATGACCTTACTGATGTTAAGACTCTAAGTATTACTTTCTAAAAGCAGAAGCATGCTCTTATGCATTTATTATAACTTGGGAAAGCTTTTTATGTGATTCTTTCATTCTTCCATTCAAAACCTTAATTGGCATTTGGGCCATACTGAGTGAATTCTAATTCCTTATTCTAATACCCAAGGCTGACTAAGGTCTGGTCCCAATTTTGCTTTTCAGTACTGTTAGCCTATAATAATAGGCTGAATAATTACTCTCTTTTATATATCTGGAGGAAAAGTGCACATTTAGCCAGTAGATAAAGATATCAGTATAGATAGGAAGATTTCCTTACGTAGAACTGCCTATATTTAATAAGCTTCAAATTGCCTGTTTACTGTGTATTCTTATCAGCAGAAGTGTTTGCCTGTCTCTCCTTACCTGTCATGTACTTATCCATTGCTCATAGCTGAGCTCAGGTGCTGCTTTTATTATAAACCCATTCTTTATCCTGCTGTGAGAATTCATTTTCTATACCTCTTTGATCTCATGGCCCTTGCTTTGAGTCCCCGTTTTACTCTGCTATATACTACTGACTACAGATCTGACTCCCATGATTTTTTGGGGAGAGACTTGACTTTGGACTCATTTTGTTTTTTTCATAGCACCAGGAAACTCTTCTTGAGTTACGGAAGTATGTTGTCTGACGCATACCAGGCAAATTCCAGAAAACCAGCAACTGCTGCTTATGGTAATGGCATAGGCAGGACTATGTGGACATAATGCTATTTGTGGAAGACAAAGATCGAATGCTTTCTTCAGTTTGGAAAGTGGTTGATTCTCTATAAATGACTATAAACTACCGATAAGAGGAGAGTAACTTATTACCCCTAGAAATTCTGAATGGGAAAAATGCCAGCTTTCTATTTCCTGATATGAGGACTTTAAAAAAAAATTCTTATAACCTGGTGCAAAAAAAATTAAAGTTATAAAACTTTTTAACCATAACAACAAAAAAAACCATTGAGTTTATTTATAATTCACCTACCTAGAGGGAACATGTAACATTTTGGTCAGTATCTGTCTTAGTCACTTTCCTTATCTCTGAGACACAGTAGCTGACACCCACAACTTAAAAGAGAGGTTTCAGTCCATAGTAGGCTGGCTCCAGGGTGGAGGAAAGCTGCTCATGTCATGGCAAGTAGGAAGCAGAGAGAATCATGGGAGAAGCTGGGAAGGGTCTTGAGCCCCTTCTAGGCCACACTCAAGTAACCCTCCTTTTTGGGGGGGGGGGGCAAGGTCTTGATATGTACTTCAGGCTGTCCTTGAACTCACTATGTAGCTCAGGTTGGCCTCGAACTTGCTGGGATCCTCCTGCCTTGACCTCCCAAGTGTTGGAATTACAGGTGTGTGCCACCATGCCCAGCATTAACTCTCCTTTTTTTCTTTTGGTATCAGGGATTGAATTCATGACCTTGCACTTTCGAGGCAAGCAGCGAAACCACTGAGCTAAATCCCTGGCCCTTTTTTCTTTTTTCTTTTTTTGGTACCAGGGATCCAACTCGGAATCTTGCGCTTGTGAGGCAGGCAGCGGCACCACTGAGCTAAATCCCCAGCCCTAACCCTCCTCTTTTGACCAGACCCCATCTGCTAACAGCAAGTCAGCTATAAACCCCCATGATGCATTCACCTTCCAAAAGCCCCACCTGAGGCTTATGGGGGACATCTAGATACAAACCATAACAATGTCTTTTTTTTTCTTCACACACACACACACACAAACACACACACAAGGTATTTGTCTTTATTTACTTAACAATTTGTTATTGAAGGTCGGGGATTTAGCTCACTGGTTCTGCCAAAAACAAAAAAAAACCAATTTGTTATTGAGAATCTATTGTTTGCCAGCAGTGAGCACTATAGGAATAATTGATCTTCTGCCCTCATCTAATACTCAGTACTCATTGGCATAGTTTGTATTTTGCATTTTCACTTACTATATCATGTTTTCCTCCTTCCATTAAATTTCATCCTCCAGGGGCTTAACAGTATTTCAACATATAGATATTCTTTGATTTAACTGACTCTTTGTTTCACCTTGAGTTTATTTTCTATTTTGTCTATAATTATATAACAACAGTATAAAGACTATTCTGTGTGGTGTGCAGAATTCTAAGATGACCTCCAGTGACTTCCCCTTTCATTCCCTCCCCTGTGAACTCGAGAGGATAACACACTCAGGTTATGTTATGTTACATACCAGGAGAGTTTGCAGGTGAAATCAAGGTTATCAAAAGGGGGATAATCTGAACAACCCCAACCTCATACAAGAGCTCATTACAGTGGACCCTTGAGTAACGAATGGCTTGACATGCAAACAACTTGAGTTATGACCAGAATTTTAGTTTTAACTTAGACAACCCAAATGTTGCCCACTTGTGCTTCCAAGTGGTCTCCCATGCAGATTTAACCCTTAAAGAGTTCTGGAAGGACCTTTACAGCATCCTTTCCTGTATGGGGTTAACTGAGAAATCCTGGGCCAGTGTCTCTGAGGACCCTGAGATCTGACTGTACACAGGAGAGAGACGTTGAAGGCTGTGTACAGAGCCTGACCTTTAATTGACCAACTTGAGTTACAAGCAGCCCTTGAGAACGAATTGAATTTGCAAGTCAAGGGTCCACTGTAAATGCAGAGGGTTTTCTCCTGCCAGTGGCAATAGAGGAAGTCGGATTCAGAGTATGTAAGAGATTCCACAGGAGAAGTGTTCTCTGCTGTAAGATGAAGAGGGCCACAGACAGGGACTTGACGGGAGGCTCTGGGAGCTGAGAGCAGTCTCTGCCAATAGCCAACGAAAATGCCAAGGACCTCATTTCTATGTCAGCAAGGAACTGAATTCTCCAAGCAACCTGAATGAACTTGGAAGCAGATTCTTTCCTAGAATGCACAGATGACAGTCCTGCCTCTGACATCAGGATTTTGCTTTTTGAAACCCTAACCAGAGGACCCAGTCGAACCCACCTGGACTTCTAACTCACAGAAGTGTGAGATAGCAAATGATGGTTGTTGCAAGCACTAGTGCACAATAATTTGTTACATAGCAATAGGAAATCAACACATTTCTCAGAAGTTATTTTTTTGTACCTAAAGTTATTCTTTTGGCATGAAAATCCTAGATAGTCTTTCTGGATAAGGCTATGTATATTTTTAAGGTTTTTCTGTCATGTTATTAATTTTCCCTCCCTAAGCTTGGTACCAATTTATGTGCCTCCTAACAGCCTATGTTACTACACCCTGGCAAACACTAGATACTGCCGTTTTGATAGGCAGAAACAAAAAGTTACCTCATTTTATTTTATGAGGCAGGATCTCTCTGTGTAGCTCAGGGTGGCCTCAAAACTGCAGTCCTCCTGCCTCAGCCTCTCCAATGTTGGGATTGCAAGCGTGTGCCATCACGGCTGAATTGGTATTTCTTATTACCGTTAGGATTGACCATTTTCTTTATTTGAAGTTCAACTGGTGAGTCTCAAGTGAAGCAACAGTAGCTTTATTGTTGACATTGGGAAAATAGTCCCTAACTTTCCATATAGAGTTTCTCTGATGTAAAATGTTCAAAGGGCAGAGTGATTAATGAGCTTGAGTGTATGCATACTTCTTAGAGAAAAGAGTTACTGCCATTTCATTGGAGAATATCCATTTCATTGATTAGGCAGTATTGGTACTTTATACTTTTCTAGGGAAAAAGTCCAGTTTGTCTTATTTGGGATTAAAATTTGATTGTTTTATGACTATTGTGTTTTACCATAGAAAATTATAACTTTGCTGTTTTTGAAGGAATAAATACTGTTGGGGGGGTGCTAAGATTTTCCTAAAGATATCTCTGTTTTCAATATGATCAAAATAACCTGTAATCTCTGATTATGCATAGAAGTTCAGTATTCCTTATCTGAAATGCTTGGAACCAGAAGTATTTCATATTCGAGGTTTTTTTCAAATTTGGATTAGTTGTGTAGACTTAAAAAACTGAGCATCCACAATCCATTAAGTCCATTGAATTTCAGATTTTTGGATTAGGAATGCTCCACCTGTATTACAATGTTTTAACCAGGGTGGAGTAAGAGGAAATTCAAGTTACTTTTTCTATAATCTTGTTGTTTGAGATGGTAAGGTTTATTTGCAACAAATGAAATAAGGTAGAAGGGATAAGGAGAGAGTTGGGAATGCCCATTTTCTCTTAGAGAGTAGTTTTTGGTTGATTGGTTCATCTTTTTTTGAAATCCTGCTTCTTGGTATCTCAACTGGTGAACATTGGTATCTTCCTTTTAAGAGCAAGATATTTTTAAAATTTTTATTTTGAAATAATTGCAGATTGACAGAAAATCACAGGAAAATGTATAGGGAGATCCTCTATATGAACAAGATTTTTTCCCTAGTTGCATGGTCAAATCTGTTTATATAGAAAGGCTAGAACTCCTAATCCTATCCTTCCGTAAAGGCCGGACATTGCTTTTTTGTTGTCTAGATAGGTACTGGAAATACTGACTTGACTTGGTTCTGGGAGCAGATGTAAAACTGTGGTCAGAGAAAGCCCACCCATGTGATTCAAGGACCCTACAATATAGTGAAAAGAATGAGGACTTGATGCTTTAAAAGACTAGATTCTGTACTGCACTCAACCACATAATAGTTTGATCCCTGAAATCCAGTTTTATTTTTCTGATTAGTTCATTGACATACAGGTAGTAAAGCAATTTGGAAACCAAAGCCCTGGGTTGTTATTTTTAAGACCTTTTTTTTGCAGCGATATTATTATTAATAATATTATTATTAAGACCTTTTTTCCCAAGCAAAAAGTTTTAAGAAACTCCTTTAGTAGTTGTAATTCCTAAGATAAAAATTACTCTTTTGAGTTGGACAACAAGGGAAGAAGAATTTCGATAAAATGTTTAGTCAGAAAATTTTGTGCAAAAATATATTGAAATCATCTGGAAAACCTGGGCATACAGCAGGAAAGATGGGTGCCCATCCTCTCACACAGTGCTCTGATTGGCTTCTCGTTATCTTGGACACGTCAGATCAGAGCTGAAAGATTAGGAGCTATTTGGTCCCTGCGACTGTTCTCTCAGTTGTGTTGGGGACGTAAAAGAGAGAGGCCCGCTTTCACTGTATGTTTGTTTGTTTGTTTATTTATTTATTTTGGTACCAAGGATCGAACTCGGGTCCTTGAGCTTGGGAGGCAGGCAGCGGAACCACTCAGCTAAATCCCCGGCCCTATGTTTAGAGTGGGAGTCTTGCTTCCATTTGCAAGGGGAATTTCATAATCCCTGAATTATAGATTCACACAGCTGAAGGATCTAAGAGAAAAGATGAGTGAGATCATCATCATACATTTGGGGAGCACTTTCTGTACATGCTAAGTGCTTTACAGTCTCACTATGAGGTAGGTCCTGTGGTTCCCCCATTTTACAGGTAAGGGGACTGAAGCTTCAGTGGTTAAGTAGATGTCCCAAGATCCCATAAGTAATAAATGACATCATTTCTCCATTCAGATCAGTCTGGGCCCAAAGGCCCCTATCCTTCTATGGTGAGTCCCTTTGTTTGCATACTTAGGAAGTCAAGGTCCTGTGAGGGTAAGACCCATGGTCACTCTACTTCCTACTTTTAGTCTAGAATCTTTTCCTCCATTATATCCTCTTAATTATCTGTTTACTCCTGTGCATTTTCTCAAGTATTTGTGGCCTGTATACATTTTACTAAGGTGTTCAATTGATAAGTAAGTTACTGGATTTTGAAGCTTTTAGGTAGAAGGACATTTACATTTTTTAAAATGGAATTATTAATGGCTTGATTTTTTTTTTTTTTTAGTGAAGCATTTTCTACCAGACTCCTATAAAGAGACGTCTCCCATGTGCTATTAAAAGTTGAACCTTGTGACTACTGTCTGACTATGTTTTTTTCTTTTAGAGAAGTCAGAGGGTGCAGTATGTGACCTCATATAAAAATAGCCACCAAGGATCTATCCAGCATCATTTTTAGTTCTTTAATTTTGGTGAGCCCACATTTTAAAAACAGATTGAATTTGTCTGATTTGTTTCAGAAGTATATATTACAAAGTATTCATAGGCAAGTGAGAATTCAGCTGCAGAGCAGAGCTAGAGAATTTTTACAGAGAGGCCTTTCAGGTGGTAAGCTTTTCTCCTGGAAATTTTAGTTACTGTATTTTCAGAAACATTTTTCCATTGTTTTCATTGTTATTAAGAATATAATAATTTACATAGATATATTACTTTTGACATTTGTTTAACATATTACTAATACTGCTTTTTAAAAAATATTTTTAAGAGAGAAAGAAGATATACTGGCAAGTTCTAGAAGGATTCTACCATTTTCTTCTTTACCCCTGAAGAGGCTTGAAAATTAATGGATAATATTTCACATGAAATTGTTTGACTGTATTTTCTTATCTGTGAGGCCTTCTGCGGAGAATTAATAGGAGGTTGAATGCATATGTAGATAAAATGGATCATCTTAAAGGATTGCAGTTCCAAAAATATATCAGCAGGACTGGACAGGTTTGATATAATGAGATTTCTATTTTAGCTTGACTTCTGGAACTCTGAGTAAACTATAAACTGAGCCGCACAAGGTCCGAAGAAGAAAGTTTCTCTTCTAAAACATTCTAGTTGCATATAACATTTTTCTCCTTCAGATCCTTTTGAACAAATATCTTTATTCATCAGTTTCCTGAGGAGTAAGACTATTAGACATTTGCCAACTTTTAATATATGAAATGAGATAGAAAGCAATACTCTATATCATACAGAAAAACAGGTTTAAAGAAAGAGACAATTGGCAGCAAGAGGAGAAATCTCTGCATCAGCTCTGGTTGAGATGGCAGAAGCTGCTGGGGTTGCTTCTACTCTACCCATAACAGTGAAGAAAAAGAAGAGTCTGTCCATCGAGGAAAAGATCGACATCATAAATGCAGTAGAAAGTGGCAAGAAAAAAGCAGAAATTGCAGCTGAATATGGAATAAAGAAAAATTCATTGTCTTCTATTATGAAAAATAAAGACAAAGTTCTAGAAGCCTTTGAGTCTCTGAGGTTTGATCCAAAAAGAAAAAGACTAAGGACTGCTTTTTATACGGATCTGGAAGAGGCATTAATGCGGTGGTATCGAATTGCTCAGTGTCTAAATGTACCAGTTAATGGTCCAATGTTGCGTCTAAAAGCTAATGATTTTGCCCAGAAACTGGGACATAATGATTTTAAGTGCAGCAACGGTTGGCTGGATCGTTTTAAATCCAGGTATGGCTTAGTGTTCAGAGCTCAACCTACAGAAGCCTCAGGTATACCAGTAGATCCTTCAACTGTCTGGTCTCAAAATGTGCTTCCTTATTATTTAAATGACTATCATCCTAAAAATGTTTTTAATGTAAAAGAGACGGCACTGCTTTATAGAATGTTACCTACAAATACATTTGCATTTAAAGGAGAAACATGTTCAATTGGAAAGTTATGCAAAGACAGGATAACTTTGGTTGTTGGTGCAAACATGGATGGCTCAGAGAAACTTCCCTTGCTTGTTATTGGAAAAATCAGAAATCCACATTGTTTCAAAGGTATAAAATCACTGCCTGTGTATTATGAAGCTAACAGAATGGCGTGGATGACCTCAGATATATTTGAACAATGGATGCAGAAGCTTGATGAAAAATTTCAAGCCCAGCAACGAAGAGTAGTGATTTTTGTTGATTCTTTTCCCGCACATCCAGAGGTCAAGAACCTAAAATCCATTGAGTTGGCATTCTTTCCATCATGTTTATCTTCCAAATTTATAGCTATGAAACAAGGTGTTATTAAAAGCCTTAAAATCAAATATCGACACTGTCTCATCAAGAAATTTTTAAACTCCGTTGAAAGTAGCAAAGAATTTACATTTTCACTGCTGGATGCAGTTGACACGTTGCATCTCTGTTGGAGGGCCGTAACCACAGATACTATTGTTAGAAGCTATGAAGAAGCAGGGTTCAAATCTCAAAAGGAAGAGCAGAACACAACAGATGGACAGAGTGACAGTGGGCTTGATCTGGTTGCCCATGCTCTGGGAACAGGAGTGGAATTTCCTGAAGGTCTGTCCATAGAGGAGTATGCTGCCCTGGACGAGGACCTGGAGACCTGTGAGGCAGCTGCAGATGACAGCTCAGAGGGCACCAAACAAAGCAAACCAGATGAGGCTGGATTTTTTACTTCCGATGAAGAGGAGGATGGTGGTGCTCTAGAAACTGCACTGCCTTTACCCTCAATAAGTGAGGCAATAATTGCTTTAGACACTCTTAAAAAATTTCTTAGAAGTCATGATATGAATGATGAACTTCAGAATTCTTTGGCAGACCTTGAAAATTTTATTAACTCTTTGTCTCCTAAATAGTTATTTATTGGACAACATCTGAAGAATAGTTGCTTTTCTGGATGTATTTTATTATATAAGGTATGTAAAGGAGAAATACCACTTTAAGATTAAAGAAATGAAAAACTAGCTATCTTTGGTTTAATTGCAAAGCTTTGGTCTGAATAGTAAAGCTCCCTGTAAATAATGACTAAGTACATAAAAATAGAAAATTCTATAGCAAGATTTGGGGGAGCAGGAAATGTGTTTCAGAAGCTTCGTACTTGACACACACAGTGTATATGTCATCTATAAAAAAGAACCCTTCAGTTACCTGCTTCACACACATTCGAATTGGTGACTACTGTGTGTTTTTTAAAGTTTAAGTCATGTTCTAGAATACTTTATCTACTTGGTATCTGAGAAATAAAATATCCATAGCTTAGATATTTATCTTTATAAAGATATATATGTCGTATGTATTCTGAGTAGACTTTTAAGTATCCAAAAGTAGTTTTAAATTGTTTTTCTTATAACTAAACTTCCTAAAAAGAGACTATGAAAGGCTACTAAAACTAAGTGCAGTGGTGCACTCAAAATAAATTCTCTACTTGGTATCTGAGAAATAAAATATCCATAGCTTAGATATTTATCTTTATAAAGATATATATGTCATATGTATTCTGAGTAGACTTTTAAGTATCCAAAAGTAGTTTTAAATTGTTTTTCTTATAACTAAACTTCCTAAAAAGAGACTATGAAAGGCTACTAAAACTAAGTGCAGTGGTGCACTCAAAATAAATTCTGACCTAACTATACACCAAAATGATTAAAAATATGTCTTATTACTTTCAAGTTATTTGTATAAAAGCTCAAATTAAAAATTATCAGGTTTTTTTCATCTGTAGTCAGAAGATATGGATCCTAAAATATGTGTGTATGTGTGTTTAATAGAAAAATGCTTTCTTGAAACATTTATTAAACTTGTGATATTTATATTTTAGTAAGATTATTAGAAGGTTGATGTAAAGATACATGTACAATTTACTAAAAAATATGTGATGCTTAAATATTTTTCTAATTTTAACAGCTTAGGGTTTTAATCTACAATATTAATAATTTCCTTGGCTTACTGAATTTTATTTTCAGAAAAAATGAAATGTCCTGTCAGCATATTTTCATGTATTTAATCTCCTCCCTCCCAATCTTAATGGATAACATTTTGGATTAAAATTCTGTTTAAGGAAGTTTTATCTATGAAATGCTTTTTTAAAAATTGTGTGAAATTATTTAACCTCTTAAAATAGTGTTTAAACAGTAGAAAATTATAGCAATGCACCAGACTTTTCCCTTGTTAAACTTTAAATACTGTGCTTACTTATAGCTAATTAGTGTCTAGTTTGGAAAGTATTTTGTAAAAATATAAAATACACAGATAATTTTTATTATGAATTACTAATCTGCAAACAAATGACATCCATTGGGAAGAAAATAGATAGAAAAAATATTTTTATTTTCCACTATCAATTTATTGATGCTCTGCTTTTGAGATTTACTAATCGTAAGGCTTTTATAATAATATTAAGAGAGCTTCTTTTAAAGTGAACTATATATTATTTAAATTAAAAGCATTTTTAATGATTCAATTTAGAATTTTAATTTGGAAGAATCATGGATCTAAAGGAGCTCTTAAGAATCACACTTGTCTTTTAAAAAAAATGATTTATAGTTTGCCTGGTTTTAAATCAAATGTGATATTATCTTCATCTTTACTGCCTTATAAAATTCTACTGTTTCAGCAATGTGTTTGCTTCTTTCTGCTTCATCAAGAACAAGTCTTACACTGAGTTGAGGACATAGTTTCAGAACCTGCGGCTACAGAAATATTAGTGAAAGGTTGAGTTCAGGACAAACGAGGACAATGAGTAGCCTGGGCCTGTAGGTCTCTTTCACTGTATACGTGGCAGATTAATTGGAAGGGAGGCAGAGAAGGCAAGGGATGCTTGAAGCAGACACTTCAGATGCTAAGAAAAGCCCCTTTGGTGGCCAGTGTAGGGCCTCCAGCTCTGTGGGGACGGCTGCAGAGAGGTTTGCCCCTTGGGGGGGGGTGGCACCACATCACCCAGCAGCTTCCCAGTCCAGTGTTGGGCTGGGTCTCTGAGGCCTCAGGAGCTGCCTGAGCTCAGCTCAGCACGGCACAGTGTATGTCAGCCAGGAAGTTACATCAGTTGCTGCGAGAAGAGCCCACCACCTAAAAGCCTAGGCTGGGGACCATGGCATTTACGTAAATTCTCAGAAAAGGTCTCATTCAACTGATTACATTAAATCTAGCTCTGATTCTGTACTTCCTTACTGGAAGGCACCTATTTGTCTAAATCTGTTTCCTCCATTCATACATGAGATGGATACTTCATTTGTATTTATTTTGAGATGAAAGAAAATTTGGCATATAAATACATTTAGCAAACTTTGAAGTTTTCCGCAACTATAAGGAATGACCAGAAAGGATGCTACTTCATGTTCCTACTTAAAAATATGCAAGGTATTACACTGTAGTTGCTAAATATTAACAACTTTTTTGGTGTTGAGGATTGAACCCAGAGCCCCATAAAGGCTCTGCCACTGAACTATGCCCCTAGCCCTAGCAATCCTCTTACTGCCGCTCTCCTGTGCAATAAAACAGTGACGCTGTATGCAGTTGACTTGAGGAGTCCAGCGTTTCATTTTGGATGAAGAAACGGTGACTCTAGAAACCTTTATTTTTCCTGAACCAATCCTGTGCAAAGCTGTACAATAAAAAAGTGCTCATCACAGAGCAGCCCTTTCTGTTGCCATTAGCTGATTCAAATTTGTTTTGTTGTGGTTGCTGTAAAAATTAACTTATGAAACCCGGGATAACCCAGAGCCCGAGGGCACACTAAGTAATAAATGCATTACTGTGTTAGTCTGTTCAGACTGCCATACACAATACTAACACGGGGAGGCTTGAACACAGAAATGTATTTCCTCGCATTTCTGGAGGGTAGAAGGTACCAGCATCATAGTTATCCACGAGGACTCTCCTCTTGGGTTGCAAACTAACTGTGCTCACTCTTAGTGTGGGGAAAGAATAGTCTCCCTGGTGTCTCCCTTGTGAAGGTACGAATGCCATTATGGGAACCCCAAATAACCCGGTTATCTCCCTACTTCAAATCTGATCACACCAGGGTTTAGGGCTTCAACATATGTACAGGGCAGCAGGGTAGTGTGTGTGTAGGGGGGAAACCACACATTAAGTCCAACAGCTACCTAGTACATATTCACCTATTTACTTAGTTTTGCAGTTGCTAAAAACTGAAAGAGAATCCATGCTTCAGAACTTGTTCATCAGTTATAACCATCAGCAGGAACTTTAAGGTTTAGGAAACATACCCCTTAAAAAAATTATTTCATCTCCTTGCATAAAGGAGAGGGCTCAACATTGAAAGATGTCAGTTGCCCCTAAACAAATCCCAGTGCAATTATTTTTCTTTTTTTTTCCAGTGCAGTTTTGTTGAAAACTTTGCAACATAATTCTGATTCCATGTAGAAAAATGTGTATCAATATCTGAAAAAAGTTTGATAATATTTGACCTCAAAGTCAAAACAATAATGTGGGCAGGAGAGTTATAGCTGACATGTATTAAAAACGTACTAATTGCCAAACATTGTTCAAAGTGTTTTTGCATGTTACCATTTCGAATGTTCAGAATCCAGTTCCCAACAGTTATGCTTATGTTACTGATGTGAAAAGCTAAGAATGTACACACAGAGTGGCGCCATGCCTGCCTCACAAGCGCAAGGTCCTCAGTTCGATCCCTGGTACAAAAAAAAAAAAAAACGCAAAAAAAGCAAAACAACCCCAAATCTGTTGGGCCAGAGATTTAGCTTGGTGGCACTGCACCTGCCTCGAAAGCGCAAGGTCCGGAGTTCGATCCCCAGTTCTGCAAAAAAAAAAAAAAGTATACACAGTTAATGTATAACAGAACTAGGATTCAAACCCAGAAAATCTGACTTAATTTGAATACATGACATAAATTTATCCTAACAAAACAAAATGTTAAGGATGTGTATTGCAGTATGTACAGTCCTATAGTCCCATATCCCAAATCCTGGCAGTATATGTTTCAGAATTCAGAGTTTCTCAGATTTGAACTGGAGATGCAGCTCAGAAGTAGAGCACTTGCTGAACACACAGGAGACCCTGGGTTCAATCTCCAGCACTGAAAAAAAATTGAAAAAATTTAATATGTGGATCAATTCTATATTACATCCCAAAGGAGTGCTAGGACAGCATCCCATAATCAAAATAATTTTGCAGTAAAACATTAAAAACATTCACCAAAGTCAAATATGTAAAGGTTATAAATAGCTTCATAGGTTTTATTGCCAAATAAACATCTCAGCTTCTATCATCAAATGGGTTACCAAAAAATATTTCCAGAGCTTTTTTAAATTTCAGAACTGCTATATATTAGCATAAAGCAAAAACAAATTATGTCTGTAGCCGCGCATGGTGGTGCACACCTATAATGCTGGCGCTTGGGAAGCTGAAGCAGAAGGATCACTGGATGTTCAAGTCCAGCCTGAACTACAAAGCAAGATCATATCTCAAAAAACAGGAAAAAAAATCAAGTTTCTAATAGAGAATTGAATATATATGTTATATATATTATATATATGTGGCTCAAATTGCGTGTGTGTGTGTGTGTGTGTGTGTGTGTGTACACTGGGGATTGAACCGAGGGCCTCATGCATGGTAAGCACATGCTCTACCACTGAGATCCCACTTCCCACCCCACCACCACCTAGGATTGATTTTTTAAAAATTTCTTTTACTTAGGTATATGGGTTAGACTGCTGAGCTGAAGTGGATATTCTATAAATTTGACTTACAACTTCTCCTTAATGAACCTCTTACCCTCATAAGGCTAGAAAATTCTTTGCCAAATGAAACAGAAACCATAGCATAATATTGAATTGGTGAAAAAATAAAGCTGCTGGTTTTCTGTAGCAAAACTTCACACTCATCTTCATGCATGAGCCCAGTTAAAGTCCAAAGGAGTCACTTGATCAGACAACACTTATCCAATGTGTCAAGGTGAAAAATCAAAAGGAAGAAGTCCCCACTT